GCCCAAATATGGAACAAACTACCTGAGAAAATACGACTAGCAAGCACATTGGCCTCCTTTGAAAAGGCACTTAATGACACACTAAGTGAGTTTGTAATTGATACCAATGGTAATTCCCATGTAAGAGTTTCAGAAATCATAGGCCCATTTAATGTATAGACTCAGAGACTACACCTGTTGTCTGTTTTGCCTCTATTTATAATTCCAGACAAAAAAGGAGCAGTCATGACAATAACACCCATTCAATCAAGAGTCGATCAAACTATGTCTACCTGATACAAAGGGCGAACCATAATCAACATACGAATGAAATATGAGAAAACAAGGTAGAAACTTACCGCAACACCACATGAAAAGATAAAAGTTACTTGGGCATCATTTATAATCCACCAACTGGTCTCCTACCCAAAAAGAATGCGGCGATGTTATACCCAAAAAGGCGAGGAAATACATAAATCCACAGCAGCTGTTGTTAACACTCAGTGGGGGTAGGAGCCAACAAAGTAATCCTTTCAAAGCACATGTATACTTCAAATGGGCACGGAGACTTTGTAGAATACGTCATAATCCAAATCACTGCCTCTACAGCGCCAATAAACCTGGACATCTATGATATAACGAAAACATGCTGAAAGCTGCATCTCAGATCAAGCTGACTCATTTGATGGTAATGATCTCCTCCTGCGTGCCTTATTCGACATATTGAATGGAATGGTTCGCAGTTATTCTGGTACTAGATCGAAAAGAATAAAAAATTCACCGGTTGCTGAATCAAAAGTACTTCTCGGCATGTTTAACTGTATTCTAACTGCTATGATTAATTCCAAACCATTTATCCCATAATCACTCAAATTCCAGGAACGATCCAATTCTACCATTTAAAGAAGCTGGCGAACACGATGTAAATGAGTATTCATGATCTGAAATAAAGAAGCAACTGGTTTTCAAACAGTTTTCAACATTTTACTCAACTTACGAGTACAGTCCGCCATGCAGACACAAATGGCGCAAATGGGGAACTCTGGAATCGACCTCGGCACCATTTGATGCAGTAAAACAACTTAACATGACCTTATCTAACTTTCGCCTCCACGATCAAATTTCTTTCCTGTTATGAAACTACGATAAGACTGCTGAAAAATGGAATAAATATATCACTGATCTCACTATAATACATCAATAATCTTCAAGCCAATGGTGCTGTTCACAACAAAGTTATATAAGAGAATTGATTTCAAGCTTTATTTTTCCCATATATCTGTATTACATTCATGTGATGTCTGGGTTTTTTGTTAATGCGAAGACAATATTTCTATATCTCTATATGTGCTACACAAACAGACTGTCAATGGAGTTGAAGATTGAACGATCAATTCTTGGTTGTTTGCTCAAAATCAACTTCCCCAATTTTCGCGGAGGCATCAATACGACAGTCATCGTCTCATCGGTCGCTGTTCAGAAAGAAGAGTGAAACATCGTCAGAAGTAATCTTATGATTTATTATTGTAATATTTGTTTTCAGACCTTAGTTCACTTATTCTTTTTATATGTTGGTGTAACAATAAAGAAATATCAAGCGGCAGATCGGTGTTTTGGTTTTTTCGTCCGTTATAACTAAGCGTTTCTGAAATCTTCAAGGAACAGCGTGGGCCCGAGCGTAGCGAGAGCTGGGCATTAACGGTTTATGAGACGTGATTGACAGTTTCTGACGATGGAAACAGATCTGGCGGATTGAAACAGTTGGTGAAAGTTTGGATAGTCGCCGTTCATTTTTCCTGGTGCCGGTCAAGTCCTCTTTGAACAAGCAATATCTGGAACTTTTTTGGAATTGGGTCAAGTTCAACAATGCCTGGGTCAAAGAAGGGACAGAGTGTCTTGGATGCAAACAGGAAAGTAAGTCATGGTGACTTGTCTGTTAATTGTAACGATGTGTCTCACGTTAAGCATGAGATGGTTGATGTTACTGTTTCGCCGTCCAGGGATAATAGGAATATCAAACTCCCTAAATTAGAACCACGGTGTTTCGACGGAAACCCAGCTGATTATTTGCATTTTGTAAAGGAGTTTGAGATCATGTTGAGTAGTTTTCTATTAATTGACGAATTGAAGTTAATGTATCTGATGAGATATTGCACTGGAGATGCTGCAAGAGCTATACAGTGTTGTAAGTTTATGAAGCCAAAAGAGGGCTACTACGAGGCTATGAGCACATTACGTCAAAGGTTTGGAAGACCTTCGATGATTGCAGGGAAATTATTCGAGGCTGTTAAGGGTAATGGTGGTCAGTTACAGGATGACTCCCAGGCACTTACTGAGATTTTAGATAATTTGCTAATTTACAAGAATGGAATGATTTCGATGGATCCCATGAGTGACCTCAACTCGAGTTTTATACTAGAAGTAATAGCAAGACGTCTACCTACTCGACTGCAAAGGAAGTGGGTGAAGATGAGCTCCCGTATGGAGGATGAGGGTATCGAGCCAACGTTTGATGATATCCTGAAACTGGTAAATACTAGTGTCAATCAATCTATGAGCAAGTTTTCCAGTCTGTTAGATCTCACCCCTAGAATAGAGCAGTCTGAGGGTAAAATGCACTCATTGATGACGAAAGGGCCTCAGAGAGGTGGATATCGAGAAGGCTCCATGATGTATAGTAATGCATATAGACCTAGTGAGTGTAACAGCTTTCGTAGTACATCCTCAACAGATAAGTTACAAGATGCAAGACAAACACGGTTGTGTTGTACACGTGTGCAAGAGGTGCATACAGAAGTGAGCTGTGAACCAGTGAGCAAGTTCAGTGATAAGCTAAATGTAAACTCCAGGCCTGACTCCGAATTGTGTGACGATAACGGTGTTGTGAAGATGTCTGTAGTTGCAACTGGTAAGCCATTGTTGAATAGAGTGTCACAGAATAGAGTTACTGCTTCAGAGTGCAGTTCTGACTCCATAAGTTTACGAGGTATAACTAGTCAGAGTGAAGATATAAAACCTTTAATGATTTGTGAGGAGGAACCAAAATTGTCTACTTCTGTTATTAAAGAGTTTGAAAATGATGAAGTTGACGGTAAATTGAATATTTGTGGTAATGATCATGATAGTGCAGATTTGTCTTTGGTTGATCATGATGAAATGGAGTGAATGCCTACTACTGCTAAGTTAAATAAAGGTTCTGTAGAACTTGAGCGTGAAGTAGAAATAAATGTAGGTGCAGTTGCAGATGGCATGCATACTTGTGAGACCGTAAGTGTAATTGATCAGCGTGTAGCCCACCTATCATCAGATGCTAGTTCTAAACCTGAGCTGATAGTAAAAGACAGCAGTGGTGGTGGTCTTATAGGTAGACAAACTTCTGAAAGCCAAGCAACAACAGCTTTTGATCCACCGCTCACTTCATCAACTGGTATCAATCAGTCGTCTTTGGTGTTGTCATCCACAATTAGAAGGACGCTCATCAACTCAAGTATCTTGTGCGATGACTATGCTAGTATCAGTTCGTTAGAAGGGACGAAATATATTGGTCAGTTTAGTGAGGATGTCAGCAAAGTCTCATAAACCGTTAATGCTCAGCTCTCGCTACGCTCGGGCCCACGCTGTTCTTAGAAGATTTCTGAGAAACGCTTAGTAACAACGGACGAAAAAACCAGAACACCAATTGTTGACTTGAGTATTATGTATTGTTACACCAGCATATAAATCAAGTATCACTAAGCAAACTAAGGTCTGTAAACAAATATTACAATAATAAATCGTTATGTTACTTCTGACGATGTTTAACTCTTCTTTCTGAACAGCGACCGATGAGACGATGACTGTCGTATTGATGCCTCCGCGAAAATCGAGGAAGTTGATTTTGAGCAAACAACCAAGAATTGATCGTTCAATCTTCAACTCCATTGACACTCCCCGGCAAAAAAGGGATCCAACCCTTTTTTCCTTCACGACTAATGCACGTTGACTTGGATGCCATTGCGAGAACCTGGGTCACACGGACAGAGCTGAAATGGAAAACAAACAGAAAAGCCAACACACCACAAGCATACCCACAGCACAATCTCACACATCAATGACGACCTGCGCCTCCAGACAGAGACCTCCTCTTGACATCTTGCAACACAGTCTCCACTTGCTAGAATGACTCTTGCAGAATGCAAAGTGACCATGGCAGCACCTCACGATACTCTACGCACATCCTCTTATCTACTCATTACCAATTACCACTGAAATCGCTTGTCACTCATTCTGCCTCAGTTCTAATAGCGGTGACGCATGCGAGCCTCAGTCGTTTACACTCTTTCTCCCCGGCGTGTCGGACCGCAGCTAACAATTATCTCCGTGTGCATTTCATTCTCAGCAATAGCCTAGCCTCCCCGGCGTATACGACCCATCTGCTGTCCTTAACATCAATCAATTCATTCATGGATGTAGAAGACTCGAAACAACTTCAGAAATAATCACGACGAAAATTTTAACAAAATTACGCAATAACAACAAGACACGAAAACAACAAGTAAACACAATGAATCCAAAAACACCAATTGATATGACACACCACACGTATATACAAACAGTACAAACAACCTCGCCGATCATGTCTTGATGGAATTCCTTTGAAGAATTGCAGGACTTACACCAGTACGCCTACAACCCTTCACAGGTTGACGATTGTAAGTTGTGGAATGTCCGGACACAAACAAGATTAACCAACAATTACATCAATTGGAACTCACACAACTATTTAACACAAACATATGTACAATCAACACATCAAATGTTGTGGATTCTGACACGACAAACTACCCTTGAAGAACTGTAGGACTTACAGCAGTACGCCTACATTCCTTCTCAGGTTGATGATCCAAGTGGAAGTCGTCCGGACACAAACAGAATTACCAACAGCTAGATGACAGATGATATCAATTCAGTATATACAATATGAACATATGTACAAGATCATACACCAAGCACATTGGACTGCTCATTGATGCGCTACCCTTTGAAGAACTGTAGGACTTACACCAGTACGCCTACAACCCTTCTCAGGTTGACGCCCTAGGTTGGAAAATCGTCGCAGAGTTCATTTGCTAACTTCCTTCTATCAGCTATATCCTCAAATCTGAACGGCAACACGCCCATGTCATTGTATCGTAGAATATAGATGACCAACAAACACACGACATATCTCATCAACCAAGTATAGAAACAGAGTAATTTACACCAAAGATAATAACATTCAAATAGTAACTTGAAACTAGAAATGCCTTTATTCGTGCAAGTCAATTTAACAATAACTCTCTCCTTTACACTTGGCTTATCCACACTAAACTGACCATTGATATTCGTCCTTTCAAACGAACTGATACTACCATAGTCATTGCACAAGATACTTGAGTTGATGGGCATCTGTTTCATTGTGGATGAAAACACCAACGATGACTGAGTGACACAAGGTGATGAACTTAGTGGTGGATCAGAAGCTGTTCTTGTTCGGCTCTCAGATAGTTGTCCAACTGCAAGATTACCACCACTGCTGTCTTTCACTACTAGTTCGGGTTTAGCACTATCATCTGATGATAGGTGGGCTACACGCTGATCAATTACACTGACTGTCTCACAAGTATGCACACCTTCTGGAACTGCATCTGCGTTCAATTCTACTTCACGTTGTAGTTGTACAGAACCTTTATTTAACTTAGCAGTAGTAGGCATATCCCTCATCTCATAATGATCAACCAAAGACAAATCTGCACTATCATGATCATTATCACAAATATTCAATTTACCGTCAAGTTCATCATTTTCAAACTCTTTAATAACAGAAGTAGACAATTTTGGTTCCTCCTCACAAATCATTAAAGGTTTTATATCTTCACTCTGACTAGTTATACTTTGTAAACTTTTGGAGTCAGAACTCCACTCTGAAGCAGTAACTCTATTCTGTGACACTCTATTCAACAACGGCTTACCAGTTGCAACTACAGACTTCTTCACAACACCGTTATCGTCACACAATTCGGAGTCAGACCTGGAGTTTACATTTAGCTTATCACTGAACTTGCTCACTGGTTCACAGTTCACTTCTGTATGCACCTCTTGCACACGTGTAAACAAACCGTGTTTGTCTTGCATCTTGTAACTTATCTGTTGAGGATGTACTACGAAACCTGTTACACTCACTAGGTCTATATGCATTACTAGACATCATGGAGCCTTCTCGATATCCACCTCTCTGAGGCTTATTCGTCATCAATGAGTGCGTTTTACCCTCAGACTGCTCTATTCTAGGGGTGAGATCTAACAGACTGGCGAACTTGCTCATAGATTGATTGACACTAGTATTTACCAGTTTCAGGATATCATCAAACTTTGGCTCGATACCCTCATCCTCCATACGGGAGCTTATCTTCACCCACTTCCTTTGCAGTCGAGTAGGTAGACGTCTTGCTATTACTTCTAGTATAAAACTCGAGTTGAGGTCACTCATTCGATTCATCGAAATCATTCCATTCTTGTAAATTAGCAAATTATCTAAAAACTCAGTGAGTGCCTGGGAGTCATCCTGTAATTGACCACCATTACCCTTAACAGCCTCGAATAATTTCCCTGCAATCATCGAAGGTCTTCCAAACCTTTGACGTAATATGCTCATAGCCTCGTAGTAGCCCTCTTTGGCTTCATAAACTTACAACACTGTATAGCTCTTGCAGCATCTCCAGTGCAATATCTCATCAAATACATTAACTTCAATTCATCATTTAATAAAAAACCACTCAACATGATCTCAAACTCCTTTACAAATTGTAAATAATCAGCCGGGTTTCCATCAAAACACCGTGGTTCAAATTTAGGGAGTTTGATGTTCCTATTATCCCTGAACGGCGAAACAGTAACATCAACCATGTCATGCTTAACATCAGACACATCGTTACAATTAACAGACAAGTCACCATGACTTACTTTCCTGTTTGCATCCAAGACACTCTGTCCCTTCTTTGACCCAGGCATTGTTGAACTTGACCCAATTCCAAAAAAGTTCCAGATATTGCTTGTTCAAAGAGGACTTGACCGGCACCAGGAAAGATGAACGGCGACTATCCAAACTTTCACCAACTGTTTCAATCCGCCAGATCTGTTTCCATCGTCAGAAACTGTCAGCAAAGTCTCATAAACCGTTAATGCCCAGCTCTCGCTACGCTCGGGCCCACGCTGTTCTTAGAAGATTTCTGAGAAACGCTTAGTAACAACGGACGAAAAAACCAGAACACCAATTGTTGACTTGAGTATTATGTATTGTTACACCAGCATATAAATCAAGTATCACTAAGCAAACTAAGGTCTGTAAACAAATATTACAATAATAAATCGTTATGTTACTTCTGACGATGTTTAACTCTTCTTTCTGAACAGCGACCGATGAGACGATGACTGTCGTATTGATGCCTCCGCGAAAATCGAGGAAGTTGATTTTGAGCAAACAACCAAGAATTGATCGTTCAATCTTCAACTCCATTGACAGAGGATAAGCCAAGTGTAAACGGAGAGTAATTGTTAAATTGACTTGCATGAATAAAGGCATTTCTAGTTTCAAGTTACTATTTGAATGTTATTATCTTTAGTGTAAATTACTCTGTTTCTACACTTGGTTGATGAGATATGTCGTGTGTTTGTTCGTCATCTATATTCTACGATACAATGACATGGGCGTGTTGCCGTTCAGATTTGAGGATATAGCTGATAGAAGGAAGTTAGCAAATGAACTCTGCGACGACTTTCCAACCTAGAGCGTCAACCTGAGAAGGGTTGTAGGCGTACTGGTGTAAGTCCTGCAATTCTTCAAAGGGATTCCACCAAGGCATGATCGGCGAGGTTGTTTGTACTATTTGTATATACGTGTGGTGTGTCATATCAATTGGTGTTTTTTGGATTCATTGTGTTTACTCGTTGTTTTCGTACCTTGTTGTTATTGCATTATTTTGTTAAAATTTTCGTCGTGATTACTTCTGAAGTTGTGTCCACTCTTCTACATCCATGAATGAATTGATTGATGTTAAGGACAGCAGATGGGTCGTATACGCCGGGGAGGCTAGGCTATTGCTGAGAATGAAATGCACACGGAGATAATTGTTAGCTGCGGTCCGACACGCCGGGGAGAAAGAGTGTAAACGACTGAGGCTCGCATGCGTCACCGCTACTAGAACTGAGACAGAATGATTGACAAGCGATTTCAGTGGTAATTGGTAGTGAGTAGATAAGAGGATGTGCGTAGAGTATCGTGAGGTCCTGCCATGGTCACTTTGCATTCTGCGAGAGTCATTCTAGCAAATGGCGATTGTGTTGCAAGATGTCAAGAGGAGGTCTCTGTCTGGAGGCGCAGGTCGTCATTGATGTGTGAGATTGTGCTGTGGGTATGCTTGTGGTGTGTTGGCTTTTCTGTTTGTTTTCCATTTCAGCTCTGTCCGTGTGATCCAGGTTCTCGCAATGGCATCCAAGTCAACGTGCATTGATCGTGAAGGAAAAAAGGGTTGGATCCCTTTTTTGCCGGGGAGTGTCAATGGAGTTGAAGATTGAACGATCAATTCTTGGTTGTTTGCTCAAAATCAACTTCCCCAATTTTCGCGGAGGCATCAATACGACAGTCATCGTCTCATCGGTCGCTGTTCAGAAAGAAGAGTTAAACATCGTCAGAAGTAATCTTATGATTTATTATTGTAATATTTGTTTTCAGACCTTAGTTCACTTATTCTTTTTATATGTTGGTGTAACAATAAAGAAATATCAAGCGGCAGATCGGTGTTTTGGTTTTCGCGTCCGTTATAACTAAGCGTTTCTGAAATCTTCAAGGAACAGCGTGGGCCCGAGCGTAGCGAGAGCTGGGCATTAACGGTTTATGAGACGTGATTGACACAGACTTTATAGGAGACTGTTCCGACTGACTCTAATATCAGAAAGAACAACCAAACTGTAAATCCACTATACATCAAATTATGTGTAATCTACATAATAACTTATCCATGCCTGTACAATAGGTATGTTCCTGCATAAACAGGAATGAATATATTATTATTATTGAAACAATATTTATGGATGCCTATACAATTGGTGTACCCTACATAGCTAGGGAAAAAAATGTACTTTATTTTATTATCTTTACTAAATATGCTTATTAACATTATGTGTAAATTATCGAATTGATGATGCCTGTAAACTGGCGTCCCTCATGTAAAAAATGAGAATATATTATTATTATGTCTAAGGTCTCAGTGGGTTCCCAGTTTTGTGGATCTTCGGAAGGTCATAAAGCTGAGGAGTATGTGACCCAATTGCTTTAAGTTGTTTATAAAATTATTCACTTATAAAACCATGCATCAGTAAAATCTGAAGCTGACGATTGATCTGCTTTTCCTCAAGCAGCACATTATCAGTAGCATTGTCCACCAGAAATTTGGGCCGATTTTGAGGATATCCTTCATTTTATTTTCATGATCCGATTTGTTCAAAATGACAACGTCTTCCCCTTTATCAGCTTTAAGGATCACAAGATTATCTTTTTAGATTAATTCCTTAATTGCGGCGTGGCAATCTTTTGATTAACCATTTTTCTGGTGTACTGTAGCATTTAGAAATTGATGATAAATATCCACCAGCTTAATTTTAAACCAGTTCAGATTATCTTTACTAGAAGGAAAAAAATCAGAGGTTTGATCATACAGGTTTTGCATACTGTGACTGGAATTCCATTTTGTTAATTTTCATGGGAACAGTTTTGTACTTTAAACCAAAAGGTAATGCTTCCAACTGTAGTTGGGATAGAGTGCATGTAGATAAATTAATTATATGTTTGTGTATATCTTGAGGAAATTCCAAAATATGATTCGAATCTTTCAAAGATTTTGTTAATTTTTGTTCGGTGGAACTTATGCTCTTTTTTATCATATCATTGCAAAATAACGTGAATTTAATTTTTTTTTTCCGATTTACAGCTTGATTCCACACTGTATTTTTTAGTACAAGTATGGAATTATCAGCAGGGATATCGGTAGCCCGAATTCGCAGGCTGACCATAGACATCAGGTGTGCGTCGGTGCGGGCTCGAACCCCGGACCATGTGCATGGTCGGCGAGAGTCCTAACCATTGTGCCACCGACATACTAAAGATAAATTATCCAAAACGGGAATTAGTCTTTGGTGTGTTTCAATAAATTTCGAAAGTTTGTGATTAATTTCATCAATTTCTAATTCAGCAAGATGTTGAATGTTGGAGAGTGAAGATTTCGACTTATTCCGACGTAGTGATTTGTAAAATGTTATAGGATAATGCTTATTTTCTATGCAGTTGCGATAAAACCTTTCGCTTGGAGAGCGTATTGTGACAGCCAAGCTAGAAAACAATAATCGGATGGAGGAGAACGTTGGATATCAGTGTACATGAACCACAAGATCCTACTGAATTAAGCTACGCGTGTGTCGTTCAACAAAATTTTGGTGTCACTTGGCCACTTATAGCATTATATTCCTGCTTTTCAGGGTGTGTTAACCCCCAACATCGAGGAAATACACAAAGACTGAGTTTCAAAGTAGGTGAAGTTGTCACAGCCAAGGAATTCAAACAAGTTATGACCTCTCTCACATTCATGAATCAACTGTCAACAGGAAGGGAGCTATGATGAATACCCATTGAACGAGCTTCGTACTACTTGCGCCAAATAACTTCACGAGTGGTCACATAGCTCTAGAGAATGTGCAAGCAAACCATCATTTGGCAGCAGCAACTGTCTCGTTATAAAGGATCGGTCGACAAAATTTAAATATTCTCCTCAGCCATACCTGAAAGCTCATGAAGTTGCTGCACTACTACCTCAAAAAGAGAAACTAATCTCTTGAGGAATTTACAAACGATAACAAACAGACTGTCACCTGGGCTAAA